CGTAGCGGGCCAGTACTGGAGCCTCGGTAATGCACCGCCGAGAGGAGTCCGTGCGTTTGCTTTGTGCTGGGGGCGGCGGGCTCCAGTGGCAGCGCCCGGCGAGGCTCGGCGCCGGCGCTGGCTCCGCGTCCCGCTCGGGTTGGGTTAGGTGTGCTGGGCGTAGGGCTTTCCGCCAAACGAGACGAGCGTGGCGTGTGAGTGGTGGCCGAGAAAGGCCGTGGGCTAAAATCGTTAGGTTTTTTTTAATTATTATTATTATTTTTTTGTAACTGGTTGTAATTATCGTTAGGCCGTGGAGTTTGAATTTTCGCGTGGATGCCTCTGCGTGAGACACGCAGTCCGTGCCGTGTCTCCGCGCTGCTCCAGAGCAGCGTTTGCTGGCTCGGTGTGCTCCCGAGCGCGGCTCCCGTATTGTCTGCTCGGAGACTGCCGTCCCGTTCGGTACCTGCTCGCCGCCGCCGCCTCCCCAAACCCGCCAGCCTGCGCTCCCAGTGCAGAGCCCGGCTTTAATACGCCCTGAGTGAGGGTTTGTTAATTAAGTGATAGGTCTCCATTAATTTGTCCCCGGAGAACGAGAGACGGTCAATCCGAGTCGGAGCCGGGCTCGCTGATCCGTTTCACGGCCAAAAAATAAGGGAAGGGCCAACTCTTTCTCCTTTCAAATGCACAAACGGTCCCTGCGCTTTCGACTACCACGACGGTGGGAACCGGGAGGCGCTTCCCGACGGTGCGGGGACCCGGCTGGGCCACCCCCGTGCTCCTTGCCTGGTTTCAGCCAAGCTCCTCGGTTCTGAAGCCTAAAGCGGTGCTAGGAAGGGCCCGTAGCGGGATCCCCCTCCTCTGCTGTAGCTGGCCCTGCGGTGCACGCCGGTGGGAGGACGTTGCTCTCTTTGGCTTCCACTCCTGCGGAGTCAGTTTCAAAGGTCTGAGCTCTCAGAAAATGCCCTTTCCGCCTTCCCTTCCTCAACAACCACCCCGCCAGGAGAAAACCCTCGTCTTGCTGGTGCTGCCCGGGAGAGGAGGATGGAGTTTGTGTTTCCCATGTCCCTGTAACGATTGCTAAGGCGAACTTTCTTCGATTTGGAGCGTTTTTTTACGACAATTCGGTCGACCTGAATCTCCGCTCATTTGCATAGATCGATACTGGAAACAACCCCTCTCTTCGGAGTCTGCTGGCATCCCCTCCCTGGCGCTGCCGGCCGGGAAGCTCTGCCAGCCCCGGCGGGAGGGAAGGCGGCAGCTCCCCGCGGCGCGGCCGCTTTCTGCCGGCGGACGGCCGCGCTCTGCCCAGCTGCCGGGTCCGGAGAGACCCATTGTTCGCTTCTGCCCCCAAACCGCCCCTTCCTCCAGCCACCCCCCGCGCTGCCCTCGCATAAACGGATCCCGGTAATCCCGTTAGAGGGACAAAGCCTCATTATTCCGCCTTCCCTTTCCGATGAAACCCGAAAGCTGGCACCTTACGGAAAAGGCCTCCCCGGGGCGAACCGGGGCGCGCCGCCGGGGGGGGGGGGGGGGGGGAAGCCGGGGAGGGCCGCCCGCGTCCGAGCGTCCCCGCGTCCCCCGCAGCCGGCCCGGGCGGCG